ATAGGGGATTCCCTGGCTGGGGGAGGGGCAGGTGAAGGCTGTGTGGTGGGGGACTGCCAGGAATGGAGCGGGCCTGGCCAGCCTAGCAGGCAGGGACTGAGGGCGACGGAGATGCTGCCGCAGTAGCTCATCCCAGAGGCCCTGATGGAGCAGCTCCCAGTGCAAGAATGGGGCCTTAAAATGAATGTCTCTGAAGGAGCCAGGATAGGGCCTGCTGCCTAAGGCCTGTCTTCCAGGGCTGAGATCAGGACAACATCCCATCCCCTGCACTCTTTAAAAACTTTCATAAATTATAATTTTTCATTGTACTATACCTTTTCTCAAAAAAAGATTTCCTTATAGTACCTAATGCATTATTTTAGAATCAGTGCTCTTTGTGTGCTTGTTTTGAAAGTAAGTAGCTGGAGAAAGGTGTACATTGCCCATCAGGAGCTTGGTGGGTGGGTAAGAAATCAGCATAGCTAGTAGTGGACAGAGAGGGAGGTGGAAGGCACATTTATTAACTGGGGACCTTGTTCCAGGCCTTCGGTGCAGTTTTTGGCCTCAAGAACCACACGCACTCTTCACAGCAGCCCTATGGCTTGGCTGTTATGATTCCTGTTCATAGGTGAGAAAACAGTGTGCTGTCACAGAGCCATGCACACTGCAGGGCGGGAGTTCTCTTCATCACACCAGAGCCCCGGCCAGCTCGCTGGTCCCAAGACAGTGTGGAGGGGTTGGGAGAAGCTGTGTCCCGAGGCTGGGGATTCTGGGAGGTGGGTGCACACTCCGCAACTCAGGTGCTTGAAGTTGCTTTGTCCACGCAAGGTGAGAAGCTGCTCTCTGCTGACTGGGGAGTGGTGGTGGGAGACTCTCAGGGCTCCCTGTAACCAGCTCAGCATGCTAAGGGCCTGCCACACCCTCAGCCTGCATGCTGGAGTGGGGAGAGTTAAGCAGAGAGCTCTTTTATCTCCGGATCTTTAGTGCAACTCCCTGTGTGCAAGAGCTTTAGAGGATCTTATCAATGGAATGCCTATGTTTGAGAAAAAAGAGCCACTCGAGTTACACTGTCCCTCTGCAGGGCATGTGTCACCTTGCTGCTTATGTGCAGGCATTTGGCAGCTGAGGTGGGGTGGAGACTAATTCAGCAGCCCTGGGGATTAGGAGGAGGTTTGCACAGTCTGCCTGCGTTTCGGGAAAACAATCTCCCAGTGCAAAGTCCCACCTGCATCCTCTAGGTGGAAGTGGAAGGAAAAGGAATGATCCCTGAGCATGGCAGGTTGACATGGCTCTGAGCTTGAGTGACAAAAGCCAGGAGCAGGGTTCCTGGGCTAGACAGTGGCCCTGAGCTGAGCCCTACCTTCCTTGGCCCTGCTCTGCATCCACTGCAAATCCCTGGGACTGGCATCCGTGGCACACTGAGTCTGTGCTCCCCTTGTGGCCCAGAGTCCATGTTGCGGTTCATCTGTGCTTCCCCTAAAAAGAAGGACTTCAGTCCTAATCCCTATACCCCTGTGAGCTTATTTGGAACTGACATCATCGCAGATGTCATCGGCTAAGTTGAGGTCACACTGGAGTAAGCTGGTCCCCAACACAATGTGACTAGAATTCCCATAAGAAGATAGCCATTGAAGACAAGGAAACACCAAAGCAGCCTGCTGAAGATGTAGGCAGAAGTCGGAGGTCTGAGGCCGGCAAAACCTCAGAAACTGAGAGAGCCAGGTCAGGGCCCCTGACATGCTTCAGAGCGAGCGTGGCCCTGGCACCAAGTGATGTTAAAGTCGGCCTCCAGGATGAGAGACAGGCTGGGAGTCCTGTTTTAAGTCAGCCACCTCCTGGTGCTTTGCTCTGGTCACCTTAGGAATCTAGTGGGCTCTGGGTGCTGGGGGTCCTCCCTCCTGCCACCCAGTCCCTTTCTTGGGAGAGGACCCTACTGCGGTTTGGAGCCGTCATTGCTCCCTGCACTTGGCCCTTTCTATTCCCATGGGTCCCTCTCCCAAAGCTTGGAAGCACATTTATGTTCCTCAAAGCATTACTTGGGAATAGGGGACAAGAGCTGCAGTGGGAAGGAAGGGGGGGGGGAAACGGTCATTCTGTCTTCTAGATGTCACCAGAAAGTCAATTCTTTCTTAAAACAAACAAACACACAAACTGCAGTCAAATCTTAGGAATGTTGCTGCCTCAGCTTTTGCTGCCACTTGGTGCTGAGACCCTCATGTTGTCTATTTATCACACTGAAGCCCCTGTCTTCTCTTGACCCCTGTGACAGGGACATCTGAAGGACCTGGCTCTGTCCCATGTTTCTGTCTCCAGAGCCTTCTGTGCCCCAACCTTCCCATGGAAACCCAGGAGGCCACAGCCAGAGAAGGCCCCTTCCCAGGGCTTCTGTGACCCTGGCCACCCAGCGTCCCTCTTTCTTCCCTTGTCCAGGCTGTGAGGATATGGCAGAGGGGCCACTTGGTTAAGCTGCCTCGAGGGAGCTCAGACCCTGGACCCAGGGGACGTGACCTTGTCTTTGGAGTGGCACGGGTCTCTCCACTCCTGGCACACACACCAGGCTGCCGGCTGCCATCTCTGTGTCTGGAGAGAGCGCTAGGGCTGTGACTTCATCGCTTCCAGGGCCAGGAAGTCCAGTGCTGTGCTGCAATGGCTTGGCTGCAGCTACAATTCCATGGTCTGCTGGAATGGATCGCTAGTGCCCAGATGTGCCGTGCTCAGATCCTGAGCCCCGCCTCCTGGAGCCTTCTGTTCCCAGCTCTGTCCAGCTCAGCAGCAGACCTGTGAACAGATCTTCTGAGGTTTCGGTGCCATCTCCAGAGCCTGTGTGTGTTGAGAGAGATGGTGAAAGAAAGAGAAGGACATGAGAATGGCCCAGAGTCCTGTGTTCGCCATGCGGGGTGCTGCAGGCAGAGGGGAGTGCTCCTCCTGCCCCCCAGATGAGGTCCAGTTGGGAGCCAGGGCAGCGCTGCTCTCCAGCTGGCAGGGCCTCCTTGCTCTCTTCTTCCTTGTTCCTGCTTGTTGGCATCTCTGCAGCATTTTTCATGGCTCAGAGCATGAGCAGGGGCCACGCAGGTGTGTCCCAGGGCCAGAGCTGGGACAATGCTGTCTTTTGTGGGCTCTGGCCTAAGTGCCACACTGTCAATAGCCTTGGCGTTTCTGGGCACTGCAGGCAGGGGTGGCTTGGCTTGCACACCCCTGTGCCCTTCACCCCACTAAGGTGAGACTGTGCCAGTGTGAAGCACACCTCCCTTTACAGGGTTCAGAGCCCCCTCTTCCTGTCCTGGGGGGAGAGGAAGGCCTACTATGAAGGTGTTCCAGGAAGGAAGGTGCATCTTTGGGGGGGACGCCGGTACCGCATCGCCCACAGGCATGAGAGAGATGAGCAGTAGAGTTCTGGCTTTCAACCCAGAAAGGTGGCTGGGGCTTCAGCCCATGGGTCCAAGACTGAAGGGTTCTGGAGCCTGTGCCCCCACTTAGACAGTGCCCTACAGGTGGTGGTGAGAAAACCCTTGTGAGAGCTTAGTCCAGGTGCTCCTGTGGGGGGGCCATGGGGAGGGGTGGCTGGGCTGTGGGCCTCATCCCAGAGTTGTTCATCTGTGTGTGTGGAAAGGCAGCCACCACCATAGCCTGAGACAGTGTGCAACGTGGTGGAACACGTCTAGGATCCCAGCATCAGAAGGCTGAGGCAGGAGGATGGCCGGGAAAATGAGGCTTGCCTGTGCTGCACAGGGAGACCCTGTCTCAAAACAATTTTTTTTTTTTTTTGTACCAGAAATTGAATTCAGGACATTGCTCTTGTCAGGCAGGTGTTTATGCCACTGAGCTATAACTCCAGAATTTTTTTTTTTTTCCGGAACCGGGGATTGAACTCAGCCCCTTGCACTTGCCAGGGAAGCGCTTATTCCACTGAGCCATCTCCCCAGCCCCAACTCCAGAATTTTAAAAAAATTTTAATTATCTAATTATTACAGAGACCAGATGTGTTTTTTGAATCTTGTTAGAAGAGACTCAGCATGTTTAAGCCCTTAGCAACCAAAGGCAGACTCCAAGTCCCCAGGTTATCCAAGCAAGTCCAGGCAGCCGTCCCTCTGTGCCAGCCCATGGCCCATTCATAGCCAGCAGGGGACCCCTAAGAGACTCCAGGCCTTCAGGCTGAGCTGAGGCTCCTCCGGACAAGAGGCCACACCAGTGGGGCAGCCATCGTGGGAGCTGCACTTGTGCGCTAAACTTTTTGTTTGTTTTTGTACCAGGAATTGAACCCAGGGTTTTATACCCCTGCCTTTTATAAATGCATATATTTTGATCCAGGGCCTTGTTAAGTTGATAAGTTGCTTGGGCTGAGCTCAAATGTTCATTCCTCCTGCCTCAGCCTCCCGGGGTGCTAGGAGTACAGGCCTGTGCCACTGTGCGCCCCTGAGATCTCTGCCTTTTGCCAGCTTGAGCATTTGTTCCTTCTGCTGCCACCCTTTCCTTCTGTCTTCATTGTCCCCTACTTCCTGCCAAGGAGGCCCCAGTGGGAGCACTAAGAAAGCTGAGAAATATCAGCTTTATGTCAGTGGGCCCCTGACTCTCTGTCTCTCTCTCTCTGTCTCTCTGTTTGTCTCTGTCTCTGTCTCTCTCCATCTCTCTCTGTCTGTCTCTTGGCCTCAGTTTCCGTACCTCTAAGGATGTCCCCAAGGCTGTTTCCAAATCTGGAAATGAAATCTCTACTTCCATGGAAATGAACCCCGTAGGCTGTTTCAGGTGGGAATTGGCAGAAAGAGCAAGTATGAAGAGCCAGATGGGCTGGCAGCAACAAAGTCTCTGAGGCCACTGGGCCCATAGCAGTGACTGTGGGCATACCTCACTGTACCCACTGATGGAGGTGACAGCAAGTCGGGCGTTGGCCTTGTGCTGTGCCCCCACCTGCTGCATTGCTTTACCCCTCAGCAGTGGGTGGAGATGTCTTTGGTTGTGACCCTGGGAGGGAAACGGCAGGAATCCTGCTGAGCCCTGATGCCCCTGTGGTTCTTTCCCTCCAGACTGCAAGTTCACCTGTCACCCTGAGTGCCGCAGCCTCATCCAGCTGGACTGCAGTCGGCAGGAGGGCCCAGCACGGGACAGACCCTCCCGGGAGACCATCCTCACCCCGGCCTTCAGCCAGGTAGGCAGCGGGCACAGTTGGGGCAGGCCCTGCGGGCCCCGGGCTCTGCTTGCTCTCTTAAGAGCTCTGTGTGTGCGAGATGTGGGGTCCACTTCAGGCCCTTTCCAAGGGATCTGGGGCAGGCACAGTGGGGTCTTCATAAACTCAGCAGTGCCTGTGATTGTCTCTAAGCATGGAGTCTGATCCTGAAGTGGGGGTAGGAAGGGGCAGGGTGGGACCTAGAGGAGCTTCCAGAAGGTTCCTAGAGCCCTGGGCCAAGGGGATGATGCGGCCAAAGCTTCACGCACCATCTGACCTTCAGAAGGGGCGGGGAGGGGGAGGCATCACAGACCTTGAGGGTGTCCTGCCTGCCCGCCCTCAGCCAGCCAGGGACCAGAACAACCTCTAGAGAGGTAAGGGCAATGTTTCTTCTTTGTGTCAAAGGACCAAGAAGTTAGGTGGCTGGGTGGCACCTGATTGTAATCCCAGCTACTCAGAAGGCTGAGGCAGAAGCAGTGTAATTCCCGGCTAGCCAGGGCAATTTAGCAAGATCCTGTCTCAAAATAAAAGTTCTTTTAAAAGAGCTGGGAACTCTTTTTTTTTTTTAAATTGTATTTGTGTGTGTGTGTGTGTGTGTGTGTGTGTGTGTGTGTGTGGCCAGCTCAGCCCACCTGGGGGTGGGGCTGGCTGGCATGTGGTGCTGGGGGATTGAACCGCAGTCCCTGCGCTTTGCTAAACTTGTTCTAAGTAGGTGCCTTAGACCACTGAGCCATCTCACCAGCCCCTTAGAGCTGGGAACTCTTGTTGAATTCCTATTACTTTGTTTAGTGAAATCTTGTATCATTTCTAATGCTGGCTTTTTTTTTTCTATCATTATTTGTATTCTTTAAAAGTCTGGGGAGAGGGGCCAGGGAGATGGCTCAGTAGAATAAGCCCTTGCCTGGCAAGCAAAAGGGCCTGAGTTCAATCCCCGGTTCCACAAAATAAATAAATAAAAAAAAATAATAAAAAAAAAGTCTGGGGAGATAGCTCAGCTGTCTAAGTGCCTGTCTGCCAAGTGCAAGGACACAGGTTTGATCCCCAGCACTGTATGCATACTGGCCCTGACCCTGTACTAAATAAACAAATAAATAAATAAATAAATAAATATTTTTAAAAAGCTGGGGATGTAACTTAGTGGCCTAGTGCAGGCATGCAGGAGGTCCTGGTTCCATCTCTAGTCCTGAAGGCCAGGGGAAGAGGTGGTCAGGGACCAGGAAGTTGATTCCAAAATAATTCTTGTTCCTGGGTTTTGCCAAAGCACTTGAAAAACAGTGTGGCCAGCAAGGTGGTGCACACCTAGAATCCCAGCACTCAAGTGGCTGAAGCAGGAGGATCAAAGCAAGTTCAAGACCAGCCTGAGCTCCAAAGTGAACTAAAGCCCAGCCTGAACTGCACAGTGAGACCCTGTCTCAAAAAGATAAAAAGACAAAAAAAGAAAGAATGGAAAAAAAGAGGGAAGAAGGAAGGAAAGAAAGAGAAAGAAAGGAAAGAAAGGAAAGGAAGGAAGGAAGAAAGAAAGGAAGGAAGGAAGGAAGGAAGAAAGAAAGAAAGAAAGAAAGAAAGAAAGAAAGAAAGAAAGAAAGAAAGAAAGGTGCAGTGAGTCCAGACTTGGACACCTAGGGTTTGGAATGGAGACAGAGGAGGGCATTTCCTGATTCCTATACTAAGCAAGCATTTATTGGTAATCTGTTATGTGCCAAGGGCTGGTGGGAGTGGAGGTAATAAAAGGTACATCATGACAGCCCTCAGAGTTTACATTCCGGCAGGGGATGCCAAACACAACGAAATAGTAGATCCTGTGACACGTACTCTGTAAGAAGATGAGCCATGTGTTTTGGTTACATGTGCAGTTGCTTCTGCTGGGAGAAAGCAGGAAGGCTTCCCAGAGGAGGTGATGTTTGCAGACTGCTGGCCAGGAAGTAAGGCGTGTTCCAGGATGTATGCGTTTATTCATTTAACAGATATGTTTTGAGTGTTTACCACGTGCCAGGCCCAGGAATGCCAAGAACCTAGTGACAAAAGAAAGAGACTCGGCCCCTGCTCATCCTGTGCTGAATGGGCATGTGGGGGTAGTTTTAAACAAGCTCCGAGTCTAAGGCAGAGAAGCCAACATGCTATGAGATAGGAAAGGGGACCTAGACATTATGGGGGCTCACGAGCTGCCCCAAATCGCCAGGGTAGCCATCCACACGCTTTCTGATCACACTGCCCATGATGAAAAGTGCTCAAAGGCCCCGTCTGTTTGGGTGTCTCAGGCTCCCTGCTGCTCCCTGGAGTCTTTGTGTTCCCCTGAAGTGTTCTCAGGAGCAGGTGTGACAACACTTTTATGAGGATGGTCCTGAATTGTTATTACAAACTCAGTGCATCCACCTGAACTTGGGAGCCGTGGTCCGGTGGACCCTGAATGTGTCCCTGGTGGATCAGGCTTGGCCCTTAGCAGGAACCTGTCTGCCCAGTGAGAGTAGGGCCGAGGGCGCATCAGACTCACAAAGCACCGGTGTGCAGTGCAGATTGCTGCTGCTGAGGGAGCTGGGGTTTGAACCAGGGCCTCCAGTGTGCTAGGTATGTGCTCTATCACTGAGCCTCAGAGATGCAGCTTTTGATGGTGTTCCTTAGGAGAGGGAGGTTACATAGAATGAGGGAGGAACATAGACTTTGCCATACAACAACATTCCTAAGAGTGCCAACTCTTCACAGTGTTCTATTCCCCTGGGAGCTTCTAAGTTTTTTTTCTTTCTTTCTCCCTCAACCCTTCCCATCCCCCACACTGAGCCAGCTTCCCAACCCCTGCTTCCTAGATTTCCTTCTTGGGTCTGTCCAGTGTGTCCCTTGGAGTAGCTGGAATCAAAAGGGAGTGATTTAGCCATGAGGTGGTGTGAGCCTGTAGTCCTGACTCTGAGAGGCAGGGGCAGGGGGATGGCAAGTTAAAGTCTAGCTTGGGCAACTTCATGGAACCCTGTCACAAAATAGAGAATAAGGGCCGGGGAGATGGCTCAGTGGAATAAGCGCTTCCCTGGCAAGTGCAAGGGCCTGAGTTCAATCCCCGGTTCCGCAAAAAAAAAAAAAAAAGAATAAAAGAGCTGGGGATATAGCTCAGTGTAAAGACCCTGGGTTCCATCCCCAGGACTGACAAAGGACAGGGTTGGGGTATGAGCTGCTCTCCTCACCCTGACATATGTCTAGAGACATTCTTGGTTGCCATAGCATGAGAGATACTAGTAGCCTCTAGTGAGCCGAAGATGCTGCCACGGAGCCTACAATACACAGGACAGTCGCCCAAGACACATGGCCCCAAATGCCAATCGTGCGGAGCCTGACAAGCCTGCCCTGGCGTGGCTCAGCCAGCTCCCAAGTGCACTGAGCGGGAGACTCAGGAAGGGCCTGCCATCTGCTAGCCACATCGTTTCATCCTTAAAATGCCAGCAGGGGAGAGGAGCTCTGGAGTGGAGGATTTGAACGTGGAGCCACTCCCTGTCCTGGGTGGAAGACAGGAGGTGGGGTAAGCTCCAAACACCCTGGCAAACTACACTGGGGCTGTGCTTGAAGCAGAGATACCACTGAGAAGCCACCGAGCAAGGGGGCAACGTTCCACGTGGTGTCGTGCAGCGCCCAGTCTGCTGTTTGCACGCAGGTAGCAGGGAGTACATTGCTGGTGGGGCAGGCTGCTGTGTTTGCCTTGGACTGGCCATGGTGAGCAGGGCTTCAGCAGAGCAGGTCAGGAATCGGCCTCTGTCACCGAAGCTGGGCCCTGTAGGGGTCCTTTGCCCTCACTAAAACACTCTTGGTGCTGATTTCTGCCCAGGCTTGATTTCTGTTGGATATGAAGATACTGCTTTCTTATACCTGGAGGTCCTCACCATGCAGGGTCATCCTTCAGGCCTGGTGCTGTCTTCCTGGGGACTTCTATGGCAGAGGCCTGGGCCTGGAGCTCAGCTACTTCAGGGCATGTGTGGGGCTGTTAGAGGAGGTCACATGTTGGTGGCATTCCTTCTCTCTGCTCTTAAAGGGGAAGAAAATCATCGATTTTTCCTCCATCCTGACAGAGCCAGTCTTTGTTGACATTTATATATGTCCTTCCTGTACGCTCATGCATTTTTCAAGTGTGGTTGAGATCATCCTGCAGATCAGCATTTGGCCTCAACCTTTTAAAAGCAATCATCACAGTGATGTCTCCCTACACCAGTGTGGGGGGAGGGAAAGGGATGAGCCTAGGAGAGAAAGGACAGCTCCAAGCCAGGCTACAAGCTGTAGGCTGTAGTGTGTCTCCTGCAGGCATCAGAAACACATGCAGCCGGTAGCTTGCTGGGCTTCTGCCAATCCCAAACGCAATGGTCTCAGAGCCTCTCCCTGGAGATCCTGGGGTCTGTGGTACCCGCCGTGTGACCCTGAGGTCTCCTACAAGGAGGCCTGGAGCTCCTCTTCAGTCTCATCCCATTTCCTAAAGATCATCGTTATTATTGATTACAGACCACCTGAACTGCTGAAACAGCTACTGTTCCTCAACGTGCAGCGTGCCCTGACCTGAAAGAATTATGGTTTTGGTGGTTTTAAAAGTACTCTTATCAGCTGAGTATGGTGGTGCACACCTGTAATCTCAGCATTCCAGGAGGCTGCTGCAGGAACAGCACAAGTTCAACCCCAGTCTGGGCAACTTTGTGATTTAGCAAAATAAAAAGGGCCTGGGAATACAGCTCAGTGGCAAAGCTTGGTTCGGAAACGAACTGTTAGAGCACCAAGCATGGTGCTACACTTCTGTGATCCCAGCTCTTCTTTGGAGGATGAGGCAGGGAGATCACAAGTTCGAAGCCTGCTGGGCCACTTATTGAGATCTTGTCTCAAAATAAAAATAAAAAGAGTAGGCATATAGCTCAGGGGTAGAGCACTTGCCTAGTGTACACCAGGCCCTGGTTCAACCCTTAGCACTGGGGAAGAAAAGTGTTCTTACCATGTCAGCCACCCCTGTGATGAAAACCGACAGT